ACGATACACGGAAAACGATAAACGTTAAAACGCTTGTAAACGATGCACGCTTGAGAAGCGTTTCAGCAAACGCACGTTGCACGCTATACGCACGCACGTTACACGAAAAACGGACGCACGAAAAACGCTATTTTTGACAACCGAAACGTTCACCCTACTGTAAGATTATAATTGTTAACAGTATAAGGTATAATGTTTTCATTGACGTATACATGATAGTATAATGCAACGATTTTGCGCGTCTGTATCTTAAATTTTTACACGTAATTTACGTCATGTCAAGATAAACGAGTATACACAGTCAAGCATCATCATTTGTACGACAGAAGCGGTCCGAGTATGGCACGTGTATCCGTAATTTTACTTTCAATTGATATTATATACTTGAGGCTATCAAACCGGATACGTGGCGGTTACACCACGTTATTAAAAAATTGGCCCTTTTTTTTTTTACACAATGACATTTTAGGTTACGTAATCGTCAACATTTACCAAAAATATCCACCAGTAAATGTTTTGTTTAAACGTTTACGCTCCAAAAAAAACCATGCACACTCAAACATTTTGGGTAAAAACAACACAGTTGCTTATGTTTCAATAATGTGGTAAAGAATAAACTTAACTCATAAATTTACTGGTTTATGATTACTAAATTGGTATCGCTACATATCAAACTACTATCTCTTAGTCATCACATGACAGTGCTATCATTCACAACCAATTTTAAATTTCCGGGGTGTGCTAAACTTATTTCAAGGTGTATTTATAAAACGAGTAAATCCTGCACATTTACATGAAAATTATACATGTAATTATGCCATAAGTTTGCAAGCACCACTGTATATCTTTAATTTACTTTTTATTGACATAGATTTCTTTCTTTAAAAGAAAATGAATGTAAATAAGAAAACTAGTGCAATTAAAGAACATCAACAACATTGAAACTTGCCACAGTTTCCTTTTATTTGCCTTTATTTTTCGTTTTCCTGATCGAATCAATAAAACAATGAAAAATAATAAAAGTTTACATAATTACAGTATGCATAATAGATAAGTTGCACAAACTGTTTTTATTTTGATCGGCAGTAACATTTTATTAACTATTTTTGACTGGGTTTTAAGATAAAATATAAAATTATTCCTTCATTTTCTCTTTATTTTGCGTTCAATGAATAAGACACTCTTCAAAACAAACTTATCTAAACCAACTAAATAGATACTACTTTCACAAATGGGATTTCTTTAAATGATTCAAAGCGTCCCATTTATTTTCCATTGAATCGAATAGTCTTTTCGTAAAACCTCTACCAATATATACCGATTTCCCATTTAGTAATTAGGTTCGGAAAATTGAATATGACAGAAACATGAGGTGAAGGAAATATTTCATCCTCTATCTTTCTTTATTATGATGATGAATGTAAAAGAATAGAATAGAATAGAATAATTTTGTTTCATACTATATGACATATATAATCACAAGCATAAAACATATGGCATGTAACAAAATATATCAACCAACAAATTGTGTATTGTATGGTAGAAGTGATGACAATAAAGTAACTAAAGCTTAATTCGTATTGTTGGAAAAACAATTAACACAGGCATAGTAATGTCAAAATAAGAAGTAAATAAACAAGAGGGCAATGATGGCCCTAAATCGCTCACCAGAAACATACTGTACTGTAACATATAAGTTGAAAATAAAAAAGTGGAGTCACTTTATACATGTGTGGACATTAAACATGCTGTTATGTTTTGTTTACTTTGATTGACAATAACTAAAACAAAAATTTACAGTTACAAAAATTAAAATTTTATACCGTAGTTTTTTTATTTATGATTTTTTTTTCATTTTTTTTTATTTCAAACCTTTTTTAAATAATCCAATTAATATGGTATCGAGTACCCTCCTTATCTGTGATATTGAAAATGGCAGAATTATACAGTTTTGTAAGAACTCAACTATATATATTAAGTGATATTCCACCAATAATATCACCTTAAGTTTATAAACAAATATATAATTATATAGAGGATATTTGTTTGTTTCAGTGTAAGATCGAAAAATATTTCACCGAGTGAACACCAGATGCAATATTTTCCACGAGTGGCGTAGCCACGAGTGAAAATATAATAGCTGGGGTTCACGAGTGAAATATTATTTGATCTTACATGTAAAACAAACAAATTTTCTGTTTATTTCATGATTTTTTAACGATTTTTACACCATTTTACTGATTTTAGCCGCGTAACGTCATGCTCTTATCTTCATGACGTCATCAAATAATGACGTCACAATGTTGAAGCAAAATATAATTCCATGATTATTTTTAGATTTTAGATGTTTTTCAGCACAACGTTCGTAAATATTTACGAACTACAGTTATCACGTACATTTTTTATTATGATTGACTACATTTCCGCTGAAAAAAAAACATTAATGATAAATATTTTATTTTTACGCCAAATATAGTTCGGCTACTGTGAAATTATATTTGGTAATCATTACTGTGAAATTATCAGAATATAATTAACCGTTATAATTCAGTAATCTACTGCAAAACATGTAATAAAATGAAATTAATGTACGATATTTATGAAATTAATGTACGATATTTTTTCCACCAAAAATACACCTTTATTAATAAATGATGAAATGAAATTCATGTACGATAAACGATATTTTGGAAGGAATATTAATTTTACTTAATGACTTTACGCATATGAATATAATCTTAAATACTCTCCGCTCAGATGAATAGAGAGAGCTTGATTTTCGGGCGAGGCAAAATTTGTCGTTGACAATTAATCTTGTATGTTGATTACTGTCTCATATATCCTATCCCTCTATCTTTACATTTAATATCTGCGTTAAAAACAAACTTCACACTAAGAAACAAACGTTCAAAACACAGGAATGAATAGCATGATTTATTGAATGTACTTTCAATAATAAAAATTATCGTTTCTCAAATAATATAATGTCAATATACAAATATCATATCGATATCAGATCCCTAATAGGACGATAGTGCATACTGTAACCAAAAAAAATGGAAATGAAGCATGACCGGGTATATGTAAGTTAAATACGCCGGGACCATACTTTGTTTCTGTTATGCCGAACAAGATTTACATTAAATATTGTATTTTAAACATGAGTAGCACTATGTATTTTTATTGCCAAATGCTGAACGTGTTCTATTTTCACAAGCGTTTCTTTAATGCAGACTTGTTATTTACAGAAAATCTATTTATAGAAGCATGACATGCTAATGTTGTTATTTCAGTCTTTATTCGAGTCCAGGTCAGGGTAAAATATGTAAATGAAAAACAAATAAATAACAAATCCCCCCCCCCCGAGGGTGACAAAATGTTCATAAAAGGCTGATATAATTGTGTTAATAATTTATTTTAGATAGATTTTCAATATATTTACTGACTGAATCATCAACACCCATCCCTAATTTAAAATATTATATTTTAAAATTGATTAAAAAATTGTATGTACAAAAGATATACACACAAGTGCTGTAAATGCAAACCTTATGATGTTTTGTTTCTTCTCTCAAAGCTTAATGTTGTTTTTAAATGACAAGCATACCCATTTCTAGCCTTCATTGCATACAATAGGTACATGTATATACTCTTAAACATGTATCACAGATATTCGTTCAGCTGCAGTATGCTACAGAAAATAAGGAAAGACAAAGTTTATATTAATTAAAAAATTAAACACTTTACAAAGCACTTATATTATCTAACAGGGAAGTTCCTTCTTTCAAATAACTAATTTAAAACACAAATACGATTTTGAATTAGATGTAATGATGTGATTGGATGTTATGCAATACCATGATGGATTTTTGTTCAGTGTTTGTCTTTTAGATTAATTAAAAAGTTGCAAAAAGGTAAGTCAAATACATTTTACGTTTACTTTTATCAATATCAATATTATTTGAAATTCATAATCATAAAATATTTATGTTTATAAATAAGTGAAAGTGTGAGGAAAAAATGAGGAAAAATAAATAAGGAAAAAAAACTCAGTTATAGATTAACAAATGTGTTTGGTGTATTAAGATGCAAATACTTTGTATCGCATAAATACATCTGCTAGGTATTTATGACATTTGAGCGCGTCACGACAAAACCAACATAATGGGTTTGCGACCAGCATGTATTCAGACCAGCCTGCGCATCCGCGCAGTCTGATCAGGATCCATGCTGTTCGCCTACAGACCTTATAACAAGTAGAGAAACTGATAGCGAACAGGATGGATCCTGATCAGACTGTGCGGATGCGCAGGCTGGTCTGGGTCCATGCTGGTCGCAAACCCTTCATGTTGGTTTTGTTGTGACGCGGCTCATTTATATTTAGTATAAAATAATTTAGATTTGTATGTATACTTTAAAGTCTATGTAAATCAAAACTGTTGATATGTTAATTGTATTGTAAACGTAGATACGATATTCATTAAATTTTATAAATCGTTATATCGTAGTTTTTCTACTAGTTAGTGAATTATTATTGACATTATTAATATATTACCCCTCACTAATAGTGTATTGTTAATATCTTATAGATGAATGGGAGTAATTCATATTGAGTTATAATACCGTTCAACGATGATATTTTACCCTACAACTTAGTTTTCAGAAATTATCGCCTAAATCATAAGTATATCCTCATTAATGATGAACTGCTATATAATTTTAATCTTATTTCGCCGAAACACTCGGATGCAACTGGATATAATATCGCCAGTTTTTGAAATCCCCGCCATTTGTAAAAGCTCTCGGGCCCGATCGGTTTCATTCGGAATTAACTCATTTGCATACGGAAAAGTTCGGAAATGCTATAATTAGAAACAAGTTCGGAAACGCTATAATTAGAAACGTCAACAAACTTGCGACCCCGATATTAGGAGATATAATATAAATGACGGATGCAATTTTGTTTTATGTTTTGTAATTAATAAACGATATGAAAAGCTATTTATTAGCTAAGGAATGTAGCTTATATCCTCGTAACGCGTTACGAAACAATCGGAAAAAGAACAAAGTCTGAGACTCTCACTAGATCTACAGTAAACAAGAAGATGGAGCGTAATTGGTCATAATGTCTATGTCGTACGGTTGCTGTGGTTATTTGAAATCGGTAAATTAGCCGTTCTTTATGATCGGTTCGTACCAGAAATAATACGTACCTATTGCCAAGCTTCCATCGTAGTAAAATGGCATACAGTAGTGTGCGTCATGTAAATATTATGAAACACAGACACTTGGGCTTTGGTGCTCAATCTGTATTATATTATAGATGTTGAAATATGATTTTTTTTCAAAACGGCTTATATTTAGTTTGTTTTTTTTTTTATTTATTTTAAAGGCGTTTTGAGCTCCAAACCCAAGTGTCTGTGTTAGGAAATTATAATGAAAAGAAATATAATTTGACAATCTGGTGTAATGACCTGTATAGGGTGTTACCAGATTAAATAACCAGTCAACTGCATGCAAAGCCAATACATATTTAACATCTACAGACTCAACCGTTTGATATATGATAATGTATAATTATACTTCAATTTATAAGCAAACAAGAATGGAAAAAGGACCAAGTTAAAGTTCTGATGCCTATAATTTTGAAAATGATCACTCAAGACCTGATTTTAATGTTAGCCTTTTGTAAAAGTGCACATTATGGAGAATAATGTACTAATGAGAATTTCATTCCAATACAAACACAGTGCAACCTGTGTAAATATTATTCTGTTAACAATGAACAGTTGCATTCCACTGAAAATAAGATTGCCAAGAATTAAATCCTAATCTCTGGATTATGTACACCGGTATGGCATTAAACCATAAATTTCACCACTTTATGTTCAAATGTTGAATTCTGCTAAAGCTGGTGCTAGGGGGGCATGGAAGGTAACTTGCACCTTCCAACAGGCTCACCAAATAGAGCCTGCAACAGTTTCAATTTTGTCATTTTGGGCTTTCTGCAGGAATTCTTTATTTCTCTATTTTCTGATGTCAAATGTACTTTTTTAAAATTCAAATAAGATCACAGATTGTAACAATGTTTTACAAATACCTTTCAATGTTAATTTACACTCCACTTCTCTTAGCACGTTTCAGGACACATTTTGGAATGTTGTTAAAATAACAAAAACACAGATAAATTGAAACATGTATTTGAACATTGGCAGTAAAACAACAATAAAATATTTTCAAATGAACAGCATATCTTTTTTTCTTACTCTTAAAATTGTACAACAGTGACTTCTTTACAGTTATAGTTTTATTTTTTATTCAATCCATGCTGTCTTAACAGGAAGAGAAAGTGTGAAGATGGCCAATATTGTAGAAGGAAATAAATAATATCTTAATTCCAACCAAATTGTATGAACTTGAGTTAACCCCTTATGGGTTTCTGGTGATGAAGGGTATTATGCTTAAGCCATTGTGACCTTAGACCTTATTAAATCCAAACTAATGCTTAATTACTAATCTAAGCAATGTCCCTGGAAATGTTCAAAACCTTGGGACAATGAGTTTACATGTCACTGAGACCTTGAACTTATAATCAAATGGACCAATATTAAAACTAATGGCAATCAGAATTTTTCCTTCTGAGTTACATAAACTATACCTTACAATGTTACACATATTTAAAGGAAGTTAAACTTTATGCCATCTTGAGCTTTAAATCTAATTACCTCAAAATCAGTTGGTGCCATTATCTGGGGAAGGGCAATGTTCCTACCAAGCCTTAAAACTTAGGCTTACCCCTGAATGTAAAATATTGTTTGTTCCCCACTCCCGCGACCTACCTACAAATAGCACAGCTACCTAAAATATCTTATTGTCCAGGATTTGTTTACTAACATGAAATCAGAGTGTCAATGAGAATGACATCTTTTTAACTGTCTCGTGATTTTTTAATTGTAAATATACAAATGTTGGGATATTTGTTGATTGAAACTGAAAATATGGTTCTAAATTTTCAAGTAAAACAGATGCTTTCATGCATTCACAATTTGTTTGAACTACATATAATTTTAATGAAAAATAAAACAAGACAAACATTTTGGATAACTAGGAATGTGTCCATAGGACACGGGTCCCCCCCTACGCGCCACTGTTCTGTCAATCTTATGACTCTAGGTCAAATATTTTTTGAAAACTAAAAATCGTTTACTAAGTAAAGGGCAAGAACTTTACAAATACTGAATAAATTCACAAGTAAACCCCAAGGTGCATAAGTACACATGCTGACCAACATTCTTTTAAACATTCAGGCCTACAAGTGAAATACTTTTTGAGCTATGCATGAACAAGTTGAAAATTGTAAATTATTTGATAAAATAAAGTGAACCTGTAGTAGCCACTCCTATATTGTCTTTCTTATTTATATTTTATCCCTGTACGATATTAATTATGGAGTTAAATGATAAATTATTTATGTTTGGCTGAATGAAATGAAAGAAAACATAAATACTTTTTGAGCTATGCATAAACAAGTTGAAAATTGTAAACTTATACTACTGTAAGTCAAGGGCAATAACTCTAACAAAACTGAAAAAAATCCACATGAAAGTCCCAGGTTCATAGCTTCACAGTGATGTAAATCATTATTCCTGTAATTTAGTGATGTTGATCATTATTCCTGTCAAGCACTCGAGGAACAAATAACATAATGAAACGTTTTTTACTAAGTCAAGGGAAATAACTCTACAAATACTGGATAAATCCACAAGCCAAACCCCAGGTGCAAAACTAAATATGCTGAGCAACCTTCCCATAAGGTTTAATGACTCTATGTCAAATCCTTTTTGAGTTACATGTGACACAAGTTGAAAACTGCAAAATTTTACCAAGTCAAGGGCAATAACTCTAAAAATCCTAAATAATTCCAGACGAAAATACCCAGATGCGCAACTACACATGCTGATCAACATTCCTGTAAAGTTTCATGACTGTAAGTCAAATACTTTTTGAGTTACATGCGACACAAGTTGAAAATTGCAAAATTTTACTAAGTCAAGGGCCATAACTCTCAAAATACTTAATCCAGACGAAAATACCCAGGTGCACAACTACACATAATGTTCAACATTCCTGTAAAGTTTCATTGCTCTAGGTCAAATACTGCTTGAGTAACATGTGACACAAGTTGAAAATTGCAAAAATTCAATGGCAGTAACTCTGAAAATACTAAAAATATCCAGATGAAAATACCAAGGTGAACAACTACACTTGCTGATCAACATTACAGTAAAGTTTCATGACTCTAGGTGAAATACGGACGGACGGACAAGGGTAAATCTAAATGTCCGCCACTAAATTGGGGGCACAAAAATAAATATTTTATCAGCCCACCTAACCTATCTGAACTGGAATGGGATGAGGGAGTAAATACAAAGATAATTTTAAGGCTTGCCTTGTTTGATTGAACAAGGATTTTATATAAAATGCCCCTATGTCATTGGTCTAATAAACTAGATTGGACTACAAACAATTCATGGACTAATAACAACTAGATCTCCGCGAGTCGGATGTGTTGCCTTGTGAACAATATAGTTTAGGAGAAATGGCCAAGACAAAAATGCAATATGAAAATTAACAAAGGGCAATAAAGTTAAAGCCACTAATAGCAAATAACAAGCAAAGCCAAAATTTAGACATTTAACCTTGAAGGTCAAGGTCAATTATGAATGAAGGCCAAGGTTAGACAATACACCAAGAACTTTAAAAGTTATGAACAAGGTTCAAGTTTGCAGAAGGCAACGGCAGCAACCTCTATTTCTTTTTTCAAAAAAAAAAAGAAAAGAAAAGCTGAGCCTAAGTGAATGACATAGTACAAAAGATATAATTGAATAATACTTTTAACTTTGTTACTACATTAAAGCTCATAGCAGCACTTATAGTTTAATAGATTGGATAATATTTTGCACTTGTATAAAAAGTAGTCATTTTTCTGACAAAATATTAAAAACAGACCTTTTGACCCCAGGGCTTTTATTTGAACAAACTCGGTAGACACTCACTAGAAGATGTTTAATGCCAAATATCTTAGCTCTAGCTCTTTGGGTTCTTTAAAAGAAGATTTTTTAAGTTTTTACTATATGCATATAGGGAAAATCAATGACCCCCTGGGGCGGGGCCAATTTTGACCCCAGGGCTTTTATTTAAACAAACTTGGTAGACACTCACTAGAAGATATTTCTTGCCAAATATCTAAGCTCTAGCTCTTAGGGTTGTTTAAAAGAAGATATTTAAAGATTTTTCTTTCGATTGCCATGGCAACCAGAGTTCTGCATGGAATTAAATTCTTTGAACAATTTTTAAAGGTGACCACCAAAGCAACATTCCTGTGAAGTTTGGATGAAATTGGCTCAGTGGTTTATGAGGAGATGTCATTTAAAGCAAAAGTTTACGGACGGACAGACGATGGACGGACGAAAAGCGATAACAAAAGCTCAACCTGTCACTTTGTGACAGGTGAGCTAAAAAGTCAATCATATCTTGATTTATGTTCCTCATGAATGGCTCGGGTAGGCTTCGGGCTAACTTGGGCCAAATATTTTGCAAGTCGGTGGGGGTCATCTTCCTCTAACTTTCTATTTTATATATCCCCTCCATGTCACTAATTCTCAGAGTTATAGCATCATGAAAAATGGTATAATGATACTTTTTCTTCTTCTTTAATTCATCCAGACTCGATGAAGTCTGAAATGAGAAATTAACAAGTCTGTTATAACAAAAATCTTAAGTGTATACAATTCTCAAAATGCATTACATGTAATTATGTCCTCAAAATTTATTAGTCAGGTTATTCAGAGACTGCAAAATCTCTTTTGATTGAAATTAATATTATATTGGCAATATAAATGCATAGTGATCACACTTTCAATAAAAGTATCTTATAATTCATAGAGGCAGGAACATTTAATACTATGATATGCAGCATTTATATTCATATGCAAAAATGAAAAAAAAAAATGTTGAGAATCTTTATGCCCAAAGAAGATAAAGCACAACATTTTATTTAGGTTTTGCCTCTTTATAATAATAATATGTTTGAAATACTGAAATCTTTCTATTGAAATAAACAAAGTAACATGCTACATCCATATTAGACTCAGTAGTACAGAGTACATCTATGTTGAACATTATTATAGTTCCAAACAATTCACTTTATTAACACAAACTGGACGCTGTTTTCTTTCATTCTGTAAAATTGTGAAACATTACATGTTGGAGTTTTGTAAGTAGCATACCTAACAGATCCCCCTTGTTGGTGATGTATGGTCTATTTCCATGTATATTATAATCTATGGCTGCAAGAAGATTGTGCATCCTATAAACATGTGGTGTGTAAGCAAATCTTTTGGTACAATACATCAAGATGTGCTGGTGAAACCCCTCCATGCCAGCTGTACTTCTAAAAATGAATACAAATAATGGAAAGATATTTTCATTTAAATGATTTTAGTAAGGAAAAATCCCTTAACATTAACATATTCATATGCTAGATATAATCTCTGTATGTAAATAATTATCTTTGAAAAGATTTTACACAGCTCTATCCTTCAATTGATAAGTGCAATAAAGGTGCCAATTAATTTATACATAATGGTTGTAGGTCCATTTGCGTTAACATATAAAGGTGCTGTAAACATTGAACATTCTATAATCAATAGACATATGAGCTTTGTATTAATCAGGACATATACTCCTTTCCAGTTAGGAAAATAAATCCTTTTAAAAATTTCACTCTAAACTGCTAGCATATCTTAACAAAGATAGACATATCTCCTTTGCAGAATTAATGGTTCCAACATTGGAGCCATTGGTTTCAACTTTTTTGATTGGCCAATCTGGTGGTGCAAACTAAAATTGCTCCAGGGGGAACCCTGTCAATATAAATTTCTTTTACTGTACCTGATGAGAACATACCTGCAGTTGAGATATTATGTCATATTATTCAGAACACCAGCCAGATCTTTCAGACTATGTGCATCTTATTAAATAATATTTCCTTTGCAGCCATGGTTTGTTCTGGTTTCTAATGGGCCATGATTGTACCAGGCATTGGTGTATTCCATCATCTGAAAACAGAATCCATTCATGCTCAATAACTATAAGATTGATGCAGACACTAAATACTAGATACTATTCCCTGAAATAAAATATCAAAACAAATAAATATGCATTAAAAAATGGCAAAGAAGTCAGCCTTCAACAAGTTTTATGAAACATTACTAAGCATTTCACATTTATTTTACATATAAAATGCTTACCATAAACCTATGAAGTAATCCACATTATGCATCAAAACATTTTGCATGCATTAATTTTCTTGCAACAAATGACAATTATGTATTGCTATCTAGAATTTTATCTAAATATTTCTTGAGCAACAGAATAATCATATAAAAATATCAAACATTCAAACAAAATCAAATATATAATATTTGTTTACTTACCATGAATAGTTTATAGTCTGTAGCAGTTTTATAACTAAACCAGAAATGAATGGTTGTGTCTCAATTCAACTCCAAAAGGATTTTATTGGCTTTCTTTAGTGCTACCTGAAGATTAAACCATAACTTGCTTAAGATTTAGAAGAAAAAAAATCAATTGTGGAATTCCTTTTCATTTTTAAAAGGGATATATAACTTAAAAAAATATTGCTTTCACAGTCATTGAATTTAAGATTTTTAATTCACTGGCCCCAATTCCCGTTTTGAATTTATTCTACTATATATTTAACTACATTTTCTTAAAATTTACACTGGCCCAAACTAATTTTCACTGGCCACCGGGCCAGTGCTAAATTCAATGACTGCTTTCATAAGAACATGTATGCTCCCCTGTTTAACAATTACACTTTGTCCTGACAAGTAAGTCTTTCAAGTTTCATGTTGATACATTTCAAAATATTGAAATAATGCAATTGTATGCCAACATAGCAATCTGACATAGAATGTAATAGCTTTAAAAAAAAAAAAAAAGCTAGAAATTAGTAATTTATGATGTTTGATTGTAACTAAGAAAGTATACTCCACTTTTGAGGAATCTGTAACTATTTTGTTGTATGGTCTGAGAATTGACTATATAACAGAATCCTTTCCAAAAACCATATATGAGCCGCGTCACGACAAAACCAACATAGTGCGTTTGCGACCAGCATAGATCCAGACCAGCCTGCGCATCCGCGCAGTCTGATCAGGATCCATGCTGTTCGCTATCAGTTTCTCTACTTGTTATAGGGTTTGTAAGCGAACAACATGGATCCTGATCAGACTGCGCGGATGCGCAGGCTGGTCTAGATCCATGCTGGTCGCAAAACCACTATGTTGGTTTTGTCATGACGCGGCTCATATTTATTTTTTCACAAGTGGATTTAAGACCTACAGTATAATGACCCTCTATTATTTTTTCACCTCAGTGAACAATTACCTAAAATAATATTATGGAGTCATACAAATATCAAACTCATCATTTAAGATGACACCAAAATCTTTCAATTGGACCAAAATTAACCATGTAATGCATGTTTTTTCTTCTTCTTCTAATACAGTATTATATGCCACTTAAAAATGTCATAATTGTTTAATATTTAAATCATATGAATATCTGATCATGATATATATGGATCACATGTTGACATGTATATATCCATTAATTGGTTCAATAAACAAATAAAAAAACATGAATTCAGCAGTATTTAAGATTAATCAGTTTTTATATGAATTATATAAGTAAATTAGTTATGCAAGTATATAGTTATATAGCAATTTTGAAAGGTATTATTATAACCTGTCACTTTCGACAAAAATGGTGTACTTACTCTCCTCTACATATGCACTGAAGTCCAGGTCATCTTTGATGTCCCTGGTAGTGGTATTGCAACACATGATGATGATGAAATTGACTTATTTCTGTAATTGAAAAATTCAGAAAATATAGCATACTAGTACCATGGCCTAAAATCTTGACTATTCAAACCAATTACAATACATGAATTGCTGCACTGCTTATAAGGAAGAAGGGTTGTCAATAAGAATTATCTAACGTTTCCAGCACAATTATGGTTATTGTCCATGATTATTTTTCAAATTGTGAAATGCTGAAATTTTACTGCAAAAATGATTCAAATGAGACAAAAATATTGATTTTTGTGCGATTTTCCAGACAACATTTTATTTTTTCTACTTTATTTCTTTGAAGATTCGACAACCCTGAATAGTAGATCAATATATCAGACTTACGGGCTTGTTATTGCTTAAATGTCGGTCAAGGTTGCCCAAAAGCAAAAATATCTCAAAATCAAAGGACGTCACATTTATAGGACTACCCTTGATAGTTGAACATACTTTGAAGAAATGCCTGTTCTGCTAGTCAATAGTTCTAACCCTTTTTGAGACACATGTGGCTAATCTATTTCACAGCATTGTAGTTACTATACAGTACAGCTTACAGTAAAAAACAATAATGTGATTGGAAAATAAAAGTTATTCAAAATATAATTTTATTGTGTCTTAAATGATTCTTAAAAGATAGTGATTGGCCATCTTAAACGATATTACAATGGTTACAATGAACATACGCCATAAAATTGTAAAGGATTAGGCTCAGCCGATCTTTTATTTAACCTGTTAACAATTTATTGGTACGAAAATTACAGTGAACGAAAACTTGATACACAGAAGTGGATCTGCAAGCTTAATTTCTTTATCATAAGTCAAAACCATCCAAAAAACTATAACACAATATCTGTGTTTATATATTCGTAGGTGAATTTTTTCTATAAGTAGATCTAAGACCAAGAAAAAATTAAATGCAAACAAAAACGATGATCACCTCACCTGTCAATCAGACAACAACTTCACGGTCGCTTTTGGTTTTAATTACCCTTTACAGATCTTTTCATCGCTTTGAATCACTACCGGAGTATATCCTTGATTGAATTAAATCACAGTTCCTTTCCACTTTTCGCTTTTTCCTTTTCCAATCTCAAAATTCATTTCTCGTATACGTGACACACCTTTCGTATTGTCCGCCATTATTTTCGTTTAGTAAATCATATCACGTGACTCAGATCCGAACATTTACGGAAATAATCGAAGGGCTTCCCGCCAAAATATAAATCTTATTTGACTAACCCAGTCAAATAAGAAAATGCATTTTTTAGAATGGTCAGAAATGTTACGGAGAGCGTTTCTAAGTTGTGTAACGTGTACCGAGCGGATGTACAACGAATATATAATAAATTTTTCTTTGGGCTACCTGCCGTTTGATTAGATACAAATGATTATGAAATTATCATATATCATAAACAATCAGCTTGAATTAATACTCCAAAATACACTATTAAATTCTAAAAAGTCTAAATATAGTAAAATTAAAATATCTTTACAATATTACACAATGAAATAATTCAAAAGCTATAGATATCACGCTGCAACCCGATAATTTCCTACAGTCCAGCAACTACCTCCCTATCTATGAAGCGAGGCTTCTATTAGATAGGAAGATAGCCTGCTGGTAGGGATCTATAACAAAGTTCCAACTATACAAATCTAATTCGTTTTAAATCTACCTCTGGATTTTTAATACCTATATGTTACCAATTCCCTGATAGCGAGGCTTTCAGAAAATGTGGAGATCTATAAGTACCCAGAGTCAAATACAATTTCACAACTAAACTATAACGACAATATATCCATGAAGCTAGGCTTCAATTGGATAAACAAGGGTATTTAGTTTTGGCCAATTCTTCTTTTCTACCTATGAAGCTAGGCTTCAGTTAGGTAGACGAAATTATCCTCTATGTATGAAGCGAGGCTTCAATTACATAAAGTAACCTGGTCCCGGTGAATTCCTCTGCAGACTGAATAATTCTGCTCTAATCGCCGTATTTATACCTGCTGAGATGATCGCTCAAGCATGACTTTATTTTCATTGGCTGATTAAAGTAATCCTGATCACTGAGACGTTTATTACATTATATGACATCAAACGTTTATTGAAAATACGTATACCAAACGTATATTGTAAAGTAACGTAAATTAGAATATATTGTCGCAAAATAAACAATTAACATAATAGTCAAGTAACACTAAAATCATTTCAGCAAACGATAATCTTTAATAAAAACTAGCTTAGTAAAAATTGCCAAAACGTTACACTACCCACGCCTCCGTTTTACATGCGCCCCGCATGAACTTACAAAAATATATATTTTAAGTTGCCACTAACAATTAGATTCGGCATGCACACTCCGAATGTCCTGAATCTTTAGATTCCCTAACTTTATGTATTCTTCTACAATGCTGTCTTATATAAGCTTTCTTTTTAAATTTCATTCCACAAATATGACAAATCACGCTATTACAACCTATCGGACCTCTACAGTTCATTTGTATCTTTTTACCATTGGCTGTTAACTGATTATTCGGAACATCTATTACAATATTTCTTGCTGTCATAAAATCTAATCCTAATATTGCATCTCCCTCTATGTTAGAAACTATAAAAGGATTTGTCGAAATTTCATCATTCAATTTGATATCTAAATGTGTCCTACCTTTTATTTCTAAAGGTGTTCCAGATGCATTTACAATATTTGTTTTAAAGGGTTCTAAATTTACTGGAAACTGACATCTATCTATAAAACTTGAAGAAATCATTGAAAGTGTTGCACCAGTGTCAATTAAACAATTAGCTTTGATGCCATTTATTCTAGCTTCAACAAATAACCCTGAACAACACGAATTAGACAAACTTTCACAATCTTTCTCTAACACATTAATTTTTCGTTTCGATCTGTCACTGAACTTTCGACAAA